GATGTACCTAGTAGCTACAGTATTGATGTACCAGTACCTAGTAGCTACAGTATTGATGTACCAGTACCTAGTAGCTACAGTATTGATGTACCAGTACCTAGTAGCTACAGTATTGATGTACCAGTACCTAGTAGCTACAGTATTGATGTACCAGTACCTAGTAGCTGCAGTATTGATGTACCAGTACCTAGTAGCTGCAGTATTGATGTACCAGTACTTAGTAGCTGCAGTATTGATGTACCAGTACCTAGTAGCTGCAGTATTGATGTACCAGTACCTAGTAGCTGCAGTATTGATGTACCAGTACCTAGTAGCTGCAGTATTGATGTACCAGTACCTAGTAGCTGCAGTATTGATGTACCAGTACCTAGTAGCTACAGTATTGATGTACCAGTACCTAGTAGCTACAGTATTGATGTACCAGTACCTAGTAGCTGCAGTATTGATGTACCAGTACCTAGTAGCTACAGTATTGATGTACCAGTACCTAGTAGCTGCAGTATTGATGTACCAGTACCTAGTAGCTGCAGTATTGATGTACCAGTACCTAGTAGCTGCAGTATTGATGTACCAGTACCTAGTAGCTGCAGTATTGATGTACCAGTACCTAGTAGCTACAGTATTGATGTACAAGTACCTAGTAGCTGCAGTATTGATGTACCAGTACGTAATAGATACGTTTGTTCTCCTTAATTTAGAATTAGAAATTGGTTCTTGAGACCCTGTAAGTTTCTTCTATTTTTATATATATAATTTTATATCTATATTTTTAATATGTTCTTAATTCATGGATGTTACAAAGACAAGTTATAAATCTGTAAACTCTCCATATAACAAACTTCAAAAATACAGAACAGACTCCACTGTCTTGGTCAGTTCAGAAACCTTGGTCAAAGTCCATTGGTTACATATTTATCAGTTATTGTCACTATAATATCAAAACAATGTCCTTTCTACCCACCATGATTGTCATTATTGGCCAGCTCCCTCCCCCCCCCCCATTAGTCCACTATATGGAGGGTTTACTGTATCTAAGAAATACCTTTTATTGGCAGCTTTCAAAATCTCCAGCTTCATAGAGCATTACTTATTTTTGGTGTGGATTTTTAAGTTAGTGCTCACCCAGTATGTATTAGAAGGCTGAGAATCGGAAGTTTGTCTGTGTTGTCTATCCTTATTCTCAGGGTGTGTGATGTACCTCCCTTCCCTGTAGGACATCCACCCTCTTCCCTGTAGGACATCCACCCTCTTCTCTCTAGGATATCCACCCTCTTCTCTCTAGGATATCCACCCTCTTCTCTCTAGGATATCCACCCTCTTCTCTCTAGGATATCCACCCCTCTTCTCTCTAGGATATCCACCCTCTTCTCTCTAGGATATCCACCCTCTTCTCTCTAGGATATCCACCCTCTTCTCTCTAGGATATCCACCCTCTTCTCTCTAGGATATCCACCCTCTTCTCTCTAGGATATCCACCCTCTTCTCTCTAGGATATCCACCCTCTTCTCTCTAGGATATCCACCCTCTTCTCTCTAGGATATCCACCCTCTTCTCTCTAGGATATCCACCCTCTTCTCTCTAGGATATCCACCCTCTTCTCTCTAGGATATCCACCCTCTTCTCTCTAGGATACCCACCCTCTTCTCTCTAGGATATCCACCCTCTTCTCTCTAGGATATCCACCCTCTTCTCTCTAGGATATCCACCCTCTTTCCTGTAGGATATCCACCCTCTTCTCTAGGATATCCACCCTCTTCCCTGTATTATACCACCCTCTTCTCTCTAGGATATCCACCCTCTTCTCTCTAGGATATCCACCCTCTTTCCTGTAGGATATCCACCCTCTTCTCTAGGATATCCACCCTCTTCCCTGTATTATACCACCCTCTTCTCTCTAGGATATCCACCCTCTTCCCTGTAGGATATCCACTCTTTCCTGTATTATATCCACCCTCTTCCCTGTAGGATATCCACTCTTTCCTGTATTATATCCATCCTATTCCTTGTACAATAGTATATTCATCTTTCCCATAACTCGACATACCACAAACCTGTCAGGAACACCTGCCAAAGCAATGTACCAAGGTTTTGCCTGTGGGTAGTATTGGATGTAAGGTAACATTGACTACCAAGTACTAATCATACTGTGCACGTGTGGAATTTTTCTTCGCTTTCCAAGCTTCTGTGGTGGTTATTGTTTGTTGTGCTCCTGGGAATAGTAATGGAGAAGATAATAATTAAAATCTAACATCCTGTGGCTTCCCGGAACATTTTGAAAGACTAAAACAAAGGATTTCTTCCGAGGCAGAAAAATTGAGTTAGTGGAAGCATTACCTCCAGGGAGTTGCCTTGTTGCTGGTGAAAGGCTCTTGATTCAAGGATTTGAAGGTTGCTGCTTTCCTCAGATCAGATCTTATTAGAGTAAACCCACCACACATTCCCCAAGTGCTTCATGATCCCTAAGGGTTTAGCACTGTCCCATGAATATATAAATATATCTAGATGTATTTTGGCTGCTGTGCAATCCATTTAAAAGTATCCCTGTATTCCACAATCCCAATCCCCATTGCCTCAGTGCACATGATTGGAATTATGCAGTGTACGGCATGTGATAACTGAGGTAAATACAAATACTGAAGATTTGAAGGAAATCAGAAGAGGCCTTCACAAGTCTTCATAAGAAAACTATTAACCAAATTTTTCCAATAAAAAGGGTAAAATAGCATATTACACAACTCATATCAAATTGAGATTTTTCAGAGACCAAAACGATCAGTATCAGGTTGTTTTTAAGTGATAGGTGAAATATGGTGAGTCAGACCTACACACCAGTTGACAGATGGATTGAAGGGTAGCCACTTAAGATATGTTCAGATTTTTAACACAGAGTGTTAGCCACCTAGGATAACCCAAGAAAGTCAGTGCGTCATTGAGGACTGTGTGTCTTATTTCTGTTGGGGCATCCTTCAATCTTGTCCCCCCAGAATGTCACCCACACCAGTCAACTAACACCCAGGTACCTACTTACTGCTAAGTGAACAGTGATAGCAGGTGTAAGGAAACATGCCCAGTGTTTCTACCTGGCCAGGGATTGAACCACAGACACTCAGTGTGAGGCTAGAGCATTGGTTACCAAGCCAATGTTTACAATTGTGTGTCGGAGCCCCAAGTAGCTGGTGTAACGCATTGAACTGACAAGTGTTAGAAAAAGATGCATGTAACAAAAGCGGATCTGTTATTAAATATAACGTTCCACCTAAAAGATGTTTTATTAATACAAGTTCTTGTAGGTGAAATGTTATATTTAATAAAAGTTTTGTTTTTGCTCTGTGTTTTTATTTTCTACCAGCCCTGGATATTTGCCACTGATGTATCACGTTTTACTCGACCCCAAAACATACTAGTATACAACAAGATTTTTATAGGTTTTTGTATCCTTTCCATTGTAGGGAGAGAGATTGTTGACTATGTGATAATATACTGTATTGTAAATGTTTATTGCTTAGTTTATGAAAGTAGGTCCTTGCAGAATGACATCCAGTATGTTTGACTAGTGTAAATCTGCTGACTTGACAGCAAACCTCAGTACCGTCATAGAGGGAATTCATAATAAAACCCAGGAATTAAACTTGAGTAAAAGGAAAATTTCAAAGTTTATTGTTAGAGAAACTAAGCTAACTGGTAGCATTATAGATGCAGACTTTTTAGGATGGAGGAGGGGAAGGAAGGAAGGATTGATACTTCTTACATCTCTTCCCACTTCTTTATCCTTCTTCCTCTAGCTTTCCCTACACTCCCCTTATATCTGCCACTCATTCTCTCCTACTCTCTCCCATGCTTCACACATCATCTTATCTTCCTCCTCTATCTCCTTGAGTACTTTCTGCTCACAGCATCTTCCTCCTTTCATCCCCCCCCCCTCTCCTTTCTCTCCCTCTCCTCTTCCCTCCTTTACTTCCTCTTCCTTACCTTCTATTTCTTACTTTGTGGTGTGAGTAGCTGAGCAGGCATACACTGATTTTTTTGCATTAATTCTCGTGCATGAGTATTTGAGTGAGAAACTTGATTTCATCCTTATTTTTAAGCCTATTCCATGATACAAAAACTTGCCCTTTACAAAATTTAAAACAACTTTGCTCCATCTTTTCATTTGATTTTATGTGAAATGTCTTAACTAAATTAGTTCCAGTATTATTGACAAGTTATATCAACCTGGTTGGCAGTATTGATCAAGTTTACATTGTGCCTTAGTTTCATGGTCCCTTTTGTCTGTGGTTTGCAGCGTTGAGTGGGGTCTTGTGTACCACCAGTCACTGTATACAGTGGTGGTCAGTCTTCTGTACTACCAGTCATTGTGTATGATCAGTCTCCTGTACTACCAGATACTATACTGTGGTGGTTGGTCTCCTGCACCACCAGTTACTGAGTAATCAGTTACTTTTATCTCCAGCCACTGTACTGCTGTGGTCAGTCGCTTGTACCACCAGTCACTGTGTACTGCTGTGGTCAGTCACATGTACCACCAGTCACTGTGTACTGCTGTGGTCAGTCACTTGTACCACCAGTCACTGTGTGCTGCTGTGGCCCATTATGACTTTGCTTGTGGCTGAATGTGGAAATTAAGACACCGGAGTAGCACCCACTTGTAAATAATGATTTTCCCTAATGAGCATGCATTATATTTTATATTTATATATCAATATGTGCAATAGAATAATTTTAATAGTTCTTCCCTGGGTATTCTGTTTGATGTAAACTAAATAATTGAAGCAGAAAGTTTGGTCTAACACATTACTCTTGGAAACTTGCTGTTGCTCTGATCATTTTGTCTAATGATAGGAAGTACTTGCATGCAACCACAGAGGCTCTTGACTGCATTTCTTAGTCCAGGTGGCTGCCACCATCATAGTTGTCTCTCTCCCTCTATGGGTGTGTGTACATGTGTGCGTGCTAAGCGGGTGTGTGTATGTCATGTTGCATGTGGTGGTGTCGTGTTCTAGGTTCAACCCCGAGCCGTGGGCCCCTCGTGGCCGCTTTGCTCAGCCCGCCCACTCGCACCACTTCCGCTCGCACTCCACTGACCTCTCGACCCGAGGCCTGCCCAGGTACGTACCCCCACGACCTCAGCATGGACGAACACCCTCCTGCGTCCTCCCGCACAGCTTGTGTACCCCACTGCTACCAAGTTCTTGTTCTTCCCTGCAGTTCATCTAAAGGCCCAGATATCATGTAGTTTGCTCCTGTTCAGCTTCATGTAAATCACTTTTCCTTTCATATATAATGTTATGCTTATCGGTTATGTATGAAAATCGATTGTGCTCATTCTACTTTGTGAAACAAAGTTTACAACAGTGTCTGCATACAGTGAACAAACTTTTGTGAATACTGGACTCTGCGATATTCCTTGTTCAGTCTGTGACATGGCTGCTAATTCATTGTAATATTTTTTGTTTGTTTAATATTTCTGTGCACATTTTTAATGCAATGGCAAAGGCTGAGAGATTAAGAGCATCCTTCCTTGCTATACTGAGAGTGTATAGATTTATCAGTAATTTATTACATGTAGTGACAGACTGTACACTGGCCAGGTTTAGAAAGTTTGCTTGGGATTGTGCATGATGATATTCAAGCTTGTGCCACCCTGTACTTAAGCACAGTCTGGGAAACACTTGGCTCTCATGTAACATGTTAGGCTCTCAAGCCCAAACCTTGATTTATCCTTGGGCTGCAATTTCTGATTTTTACTGCATTGAGTAACTTACTTCACTTAGAGACAGAAGTATATAACAGAGCCAAGATGCTTCTCAGTATAGTGTCCCTATATTGTACTTTCATCATGCAGTACCACCATTTATTGTTGCAGTAAGCAGGAGTCTGTACAAAATGTAACTGAAATATTGTTGCAGTTATATACAGAGAGAGGGGGAGGCACTAACTTATGAATGCCCAAATTGCAAACCAATGAGGTTTATGAGAAATACAGTAAGACAATATTTGAAAAAAAAAAATAAACTGAGCTTTGCATTTGCAAACACATTTGGCACACAACTATCCTTTGTATTCTATTGTGCTGTTGTTTTCTGTAAAACAATAAGTTCTAAATTACTTGCTCACTCCTTTATGTGATGCGCTAGACTCGTGTGTGTCATTCAGCACAGAGTGATGAAGGCTCGATCTTCTGTCTGCTGATTGCAAGACAAACTGTAGTCTCAGCCAGGGTTTATCTTGCTTCCAAATTACAAACATCCTGTTTATATATTAGAACACCAGGAATGCAGCTCATCAGTTAGTTGGAAACCCCTTATATACAGCAGAATGGTTGACCATTTTACAGGCACTCATAAAAAAGTCATGTTCAGAAAATCTGGTAATAACTTATTAATGTATCGTCTTTCCAATGTTGCAGTTATGATTGAATGGTTGTGCTGCATGTGATAGGTCAAAAAATATACTTTATTGCTGTCAAGCACATATAATCTCGGGAATCGTCATGACTCGTGAAATCGTAATAACACGATTGCAAACAACCACTGAATGGGTGGGATTTAAATTCATGGCGAGTGAGTCGTAAAACTCCAGGCCAGTGCATAAGTCACTGGGCCAGCTGGCTACAAGATTCATCCAACTATGTTTATTTATACACCATAGGGAGGTTAGCACGGGTCACCACTGTGACCACAAATGCAAGTTTTTACAGATAAATTTCCTACCAACGGGGCAGGAGTTGTATCTATAAAAACTTGAATAGGTGGTCACAGTGGGGCCCATGCTAACCTCCCTGTGGTATATAAATATACCTAGTTGGCTGAATCTTCTTATAGCCAGCTTTCTGAGTGACTTACACACTGGCCTGGAGTTTTATGACTCGCTCACCATGGGTTCAAATCCCCACCTGTTTGTGGTTTGATAATCTTAAGAGCATTGTTATAAAGGTGTTAAGAGTACTTATGCAGTACTGACACCAGATTACTGCAGGTATTAATGATTGTAATATAACATGTCAGGAACCGAGTGGCAGTGAATACTTTCAAAATCTCTCAAGATAATAAATTAGGGATATTAAAATGAAATTTCTCTGGCTTACATATAAGCAGAGTCAGGTACCTGACAGCTTCATAGCTATTGTTAGCATTTGTTGTTTCTTTCTGGTAGTTGAGCACATACACACTAGACATGTTGCACTCTGTGTTGCACTTCTCACAATATATGTTGGTTCAGCTCCTACACTTTGACTTGGATATGAAGTACATACAAGTATTACAGCTTATTACAAATCAGTCTTTCAACTTCATATAATATATCCAGTAGCCTGCACCTCTGCCTTGGGTTCACAAAATATTGATTATAGCATAATTGCCGATGGGTTATTTATAAACTGCAAAAAAAAAAAAATAGAAAAACATTTTGTTTTTATCATGGAAAATAATTGAATTCTAGGAAATGGTTCATCTTTATTCTCGTACCTTGATTCCATTTTGTATTATTACTTTAGACCATCAGTAGAGGATCGTAAAGAACAATTACATACCTATTTTGTCCAGTAAAATAATGTAAAACTAATACAATACTTTTTGTCTAAAATTTTAATTGTTTTACTTGTACTGTGAGAATTTCTTCTATATTGTACTATATGATGATAGTGACTTTATGGTGTTAACCCTTTCAGGGTCCACAGGCCAAATTTCAAAGTGTGCACCAGTGTCCAAGAATTTTCAAAAAATAACTGTTATTTTTTCTTATGAAATGGTAGAGAATCTTTTTTTGAAGGTAATAAAACAAAAAGTACGAAATTTGATGGAAAATTGATGAAATTATGCTCTCGCGAATTTTGATGTGTCAGCGATATTTACACATTGGCGATTTTGCCGACTTTGACTCCCATTTTAGGCCAATTACATTATTCCAGTTGACCAAATTCTTAGCTATTTCACTAGTATTACTTCTATTCTATCGATTGAGCACAAGAATTTGCCAAGCCAACTGTTTCAACTACAAAATAAAGTGATCGGAAATTGATAATTTTGCCAATTTAATGCAAAGTTCAAAATACTCCAATTTCAAAATAGGGTCCAGAATAAACAATGCAGGCATTCCTGGCACTAAACTAACATTTCCTCTGTTCATTAGTTATGTTTTCAGGCTTTACTAATGAATTCCATTTTGATTTTTTATTCACATAATGAATTTTTATTCAAACCAAAAAAGTAGAAGAGTTACTGTTATGCAATATTGTAATAATTGTATAAATAATATCACCACATTTGTGAACGTATATTAGACCCACCAGCTGGCTCAGTTTCAAGCCATTTTGAGTACTAAAACCAATCAAAATCATCTCTATTTCTGTAATATATCTTCCATTCTATCAAAGGAGACCAAGAAATTGCAAATACAACTATAAAAAACATACAAAAAAAAAAAAACGCTGCAAAGTCACTGTTTTAATCGAAAATTACGGTCTCAATTTTTATCTCTCATTATGCTCTGTGTGCTACAGGATTTGTTTTATGTGGTGCACACATACCACATAGATGTATTCTCTCATATCTAGGCCAAAATTTACCGCTCACAGCTTATCAGAGTGAGCTGAGCTCATGACGTAGATCTACAGTTTGGACCCTCAACATAAGGCTGTAGACCTACGGCATGGACCCTCGAAGGGTTAAACCAAATAACACAACTTTTAATTAAAATAGTTATGTTTGTACATTGCTATATAGAACATCATAAAATGAAAGCAACTTAAGAACATTACTGCTTAAAAGATCTGAGTAAAGAATGATAATTAATGTATAGTATGTATTATATAAATTCTCTTAAGTGGCTCGATCAAGAAATCTTTTGAAAAATGTTGAACCGTGGACATTTATATAATGTGTATCCAGACTCGTTTTATTCCGACTATAGCAATTTATATTTTATCATACATATCACAGCATGGACAAGTCATTGAGTAATAGGATTTTATGTTCTTCACTCCTATTCACTTATATATTAATAAAAAAATAAAATAATAAGAGAAATCAAATGTGATAAAAGGTATTGCGACACATGAGAGATGCTTCAAAGGTGAATATTTGTTAGCAATACTCTACAATATAGTCTCTTATGTCTTTACAAAGATTTCATCTTCCTCTTCAGTGTTTTTTTCAGTTTCATTGTTGTCCAGTAACACTATAAAGATTTGCACTTCTCTTGTCTTCTAAAGTAGCATGTTGTCTCCCACTGTTACATGTCCTTTTTCCTTGCACTCCTTACTACTGGGCACCATTGTATGCCTATGCTGTATTGATTATTTGTGAGATGCAACATTGTAAGCATTTCCATGCATTATATAGCCAAAATATACTTAGTGTCTCTTTCCAGTAAGGTAATATCTTTTATTTTTGCTCCTGTCATTTGTGTATGATTGAGGGAGAGATCATATAGGTTCTCTCTCATTCTGCCTCCCTTTAAGCCCTGTTCTTGTTAGAGTTTCACATCATAATGTCCTTCATTAACTATTGCCTTCTGGCACAGTACTGTTTTAGTTGAGTGTTGTCTAGGAAACGCTAGATTTACACTTTTGCATCCTCAAACGAGGTGGTCTTTTTTCCTGCCACAGCGGCATCATCATAACCAACCTCTAGATGCACACCCAAAGAGCCTATAGAATTTTTTTTTACCAAATGAATTACTGTATTATCACCTAAGAACATGTCACATGATGCTGAAAATCTAAACTGAAAATATAAATTTTTGTCAGAATATGGGACATAAGCCTGTTTTCCCATTGAGAAATTAAATTCATATTGCAAGTTTTTTGTACAATTGTGGTGTTCTGAAAGATATATACTGTACTACATTATATAAGAGTCTAGTGAACAGAACTTGCACACGCATGCACACTTTGATGTAAAAGGAAAGCCACTTTAAACAAAATTTTCGATCTTAAAATACAAGACAGATACAGTAAGAAGTAACTTCTATTTTACTTTTAATTTTCTGATATTTCCATTGCTGTAAATTTATAATATCAGCTAATCTTCCTTGACCTTTATTATTATATTAGGACAATTTCTTAGTATTTTTTTGTTTCCATGTTTATTGCTGTATTTGATAGGTA